TGGGATGACCAGGGCCAAGGACATAAATGAGAAAAATGCAGGATTTGTATTACTGGAAGCATCTCAAAGCAAAGCTGGTGCTGAGTCACATTGATTGTATGAAAGTAGTAGAGAGGCTGTATCGGCCTGGAAGTATAAATGCACACCAGAGGTGACAGGGAAACACCCCCGCGCAGCCCCGTCCTTCACTAAAGCACGTGCGCTCAGCTCCAGGACCTAACTCACCAAGCGGACTCACAGACTAGCTGAGGTTTGCAGGGATTCTGGAGATCGTTTAGCCCAGTGCCCCTGCTCTCAGCACGGCCAGCAAGACGTCCCCAAAGGAGTCCCAGTTGTTCCAGTCGCCGTACTTCAATAAGCTGAAGGAAGTATTACTGGTTTCGCTTTTTTCTAAAAAAAATATTATGTTTTAGCATGTATTTTTCTGATCGTTGTCATCCGATTTCGATGAATTCCCAGGCACTGTGCTGAAGAGCACAATCACTATTTTTTGTTCCGATACAGGTTTTCGCAGTGCTACCCAGCAGTTTTCTGGCTAACAGCATCAGTACCGTAAAAACGTAACAGTGCGAGGAAATAGCTATGGTAGAGTTTACAAATAACAAAAGATCACAACATTTGGGGTAGGGATTGTGTCTCCTGTTTCTGTGAAGAATTTTCACTCTGGTACTCAAAATAATTGTAGTATCTTCTGTGGGGTGAAAGTTAGGTATTATTTTAAAAACGTGCAGAATTTGAGAGACCCTCAGAATTCAGACAAGACAGCAGCCACCGTCTGTGCGGTCATTCTCTGCTTGAAACCAACTCAAGGACCTGATGAAGATGCGAAATACAAGCAGTTACAGTAATATGACAGACGACACAAAGAAAGAAAAAAAAAAGAGTGTGGAAAAATTCATAAAAATGGAATCTCAGCAGAGAGCAGGGTTACATTTAACACAGGAAGAAGTTCATGAAGCCCGTCTCTAGAGAAACAGGTCGTGAGCGGTAGCAGGCAGACAACCATGCGAAAGCAGGGCTTCAGCGAAGGAGAAACCGAGAACCGAGCTACGAGCACGCTGAAAAACCACAGAGGGAAGTCGTGTTTTCACATACAAAGTCCTTGATCTGGTCCTCAAGAACAAACCCACCATGCTCACAAAACCAGGATGGTGACCAGCAGGTACAAAAATTAAAGGGGGGGAAAAAAAAGGGACTACTGTAACACAAGGGTTTTGTTGAAAAGGATTTCAGACACAGAGCAAGTAGTCATCACCTGATTAGAATGCAACATATGTTCCATTAGACAGAGCTACCAAGCGTCTGTACACTCAGCTGCACTGGGGATAATAAGCTCCCATTTGCTATAGGCACTGTGTGTTCTTTTCGTTTTACTTCTAGTGGCAATTAACCTCCCTGTTATTAAGAAAATTGAGCTAAAAGTGGAAGACAAACACAGTCATTTGCAACACTGAAGAAACCAGATCCTTTTACAGTCGCCCATTTCTTCAAATGTGTTTTTACCTCCGAAGCTCTTTCAGATACAGCGAAAGAAATCAAACCTTCCTCCCAAATTATCATTTCCCAAACTGCTCAGGCAGAAAACCCAGGCGACTCTCACGGGCGCTGTACGTGTGCGGGCTCCTCTTCTGCAACTCCGTCTCCTTGGAGTTTGCGTTCCCACTATAGGTTGTGACCTCTAATTTGGGACCACCGTCCTAAACCCTGCTACTGGAGATAAAAATCTCACTTGGCATACGCTCGCTAAAAAGGCAAGGGTATTTTCTCTGACAAAGATTTAAAAAAAACCCACAAACACTTAGGAGTATGAAGAATACAGTACTCGTGCTGAGCATTTAAATGCACGTAAGCAATCCAAGAGACTTCACCCCCAGTTAAACCAAAGATCGTCCCATTCAAACAATCAATCAGGGAAAGTTTTTACCCTCAAACCTCCAAAATCAATCGTAATTTCTTTCTCAGGTGCAAAACCGGGAACAAGTTCAAATAGCAGCTGAGATACTCGAGGCCTGCCCGAGAGCACGTAGAGGTTACCTTCTGGAGGGGTAATGGTGTAGAAGGAAAAATGAAGCAAGCACAGTTTATATTATTGTGGGGGGCAAGAGGTCATAGTTTGTGCAGAGGGGAATGTTATCAACCACGGTGATCTTCACCCAGTTTAAAGGGAGAACAGCCTGCCATATCCTAGTGGGATTGTACTGGATGTTTTAGTTACACAAGACAATATAAAATTGAATTTGCACAATTACCTGGCTTCTGCCAACGCCTCCTAACCCCGAGCAGCACAAGAGCAGTGTCTCTCTGTTTTGACCAGTGCTCAGCCAACCTCATCTTCTGACCGCAGTCAGTGGCACACAGAGAACTGCATGTTACTCACTGGCTCTTGCAAAGTTTGGTTTTTTTTTTTCTATTTTTCTCCCGACCTGAATTTACAACCAAGTTCCTGGGCCATAACATACGTGTACTGCCAGCATTCTGCACTTGGGATGCACCATCTTTGCTGCAATGTGCAACACCAGAGCAAGATGACATTTGGCAATGCCAGAAGGAAGAATGAGGAGGTTTTGGCTGTACACATAGTTAGAAAAGTTTTGGGTTTTCAAATTAAAGAGCTAAAAGGAACATGCAAGATTTAAGCAGTCTCTGGATATATGGCACAAAAGCAACCCAAGGTGAACGGCGCTCAGGTCACGGACTTGTGATGGGTAGGGA